TAAAAACCATAGAGGCACAAACAAATATTTTTGCAGCACAAACGTAGCACAATTGATTGGCACCAGTTTTGTTTGATTTGGGTAATGTAAGGGGGGCTGGTTCACTTCTGATGACCTCTAGAAACTTTCATTAATATCTTAAAAATGATAGCGGCACAAACGAATTTTTTTTGCTGCACAAAACAGTACAAATGTAGCACAAACATTTGACACCAGTTTTCTTAGATTTGAACAAAGTGGGGGATGGGGGCAACTTCACCCAGGCAAATAAAGCTGGTATGGAAGGATTATTAATATCTTAAAAACAGTAGTGGCACAAATGAAATTTTTTGCTGCACAAACCAGCACAAATGTAGCACAAACATTTGATGCCAGTTTTGTTAGATTTGAACAAAGTGGGGGATGGGGGCAACTTCACCCAGGCAAATAAAGCTGGTATGGAAGGATTTGAATGAAACTTTCAGAAAGTAATCATGACATATAAATGTAACAAAGTTTGATATTAAACATTTGTTCAATGTTTGTGTTTACATTGTTTTGACATCAAAGCATGCCGAAGGGAATTCAAATTGGTTTTCATTAACAGAGTTCGTGCTGTTGAACATTTAATCCTTTGTTCATTGTTCTCTTGTTCTGACTCATCATGCAAATGAGGTGTTTAGGGTGGGGCTGACTCACCACTTTTATTTTATTTTGACATCACTGGGTCAAACCAAGCAGAAGACATTTTCTTTTGTTCATATTTACTTATTAACTTAGCTTATTAAAATAGAGTTGTTGTATTTTTCAAGCTCTTAAGTCGAGCAGAAAAGTTTAACTAGTTTCAGAGACTTTTTGTCCTGAAATATTATCTTAGGTTAAATCTTGTCATCATTTATATAGTGGTGATGTTTTTTTTCTTTTTCTTTTTTTTTAGAACTGTCTCTTTTGGCTCAGATGGCTTTTTTATTGAGCATTATTGAGTAGTGCTGTGAGGTGATGGCTCTGACATGAAAAAGTCGATATAGTTCTGTCTAAAAGCAGCCGAGTTTGAGCTGTTATATATGAGATGTAACAATAGATAAAGGGTATTTGTTTTTCATAATGAAAATGGCAATTTTCTGACAAAAAATAAACCTTAAATAAAATAAAATGTCTGCCATCTTTTCCAACTGATCTTTGAAAACACAAAAAACGACTCCATCAGTTTTACAAATTTTAGGCCAGTTAAGTTTAAGTTTGATGTTCAACTAGCCAATGCTAAGTGCTAATTTAAGAGCACATTTATTTACAAGGTTTGAGAAAATTAACTTTAACTTTGTTTCTTCTCATCACTGATTGATCTTAATTTAAAAGCGATGGGTATATTTTTCCTTCCTTCAAGAAATCCTGAACCTCTGTTTTTATCCAGTAGGGATGCAACGGTACGCCTAAGTCATGTTTTAGTAAATATCTCAGTATGATGGTCACAGTTCAGTTAGGTACAAATTTTTTTTTGCTGTAAAATAAAAAAGCACATTTTACTGTATTTTTTATCCAAATATGAGGAATCACCCACAGGCCAAGTGTCAAACCAAAAGTTTAATAAATTTATTTAACTGTTATTTAACCACGCAAATATCACTGAGATCACAAATCTCTTTTTCAAAGGAGGCCCGGGCCTAAAGACTGCCTATTGTACATGTTTTTTTGGGTTGTGGGGGAGATGGGAGTACCCAGAGAAAACCCACACAAGCAGGAGGAGAAATGCAGACTCCACACAGAAACATCCCAGGTCCAAACCAGGGATCAAACCCCGGTCCTCCTTGCTGTGAAGCGGTGGTGCTAACCACTGAGTTATTGTGCTGTTTCAAAGTCAATTTTGAGAAAATATTAACAAAACAAAAGGTCTTATTTATATAATTTGACCAATATTTTGTCTAAAATGAGAAGCACAGAACTGAATA